CCCCCCCCCCCCCACCCCTACACTTAGATGACAAATAAAGTGAAAGGCCTAAAGAAAAAGTTTTGTAGTAACATGGTAACATGCTGAGAAGAAAAGTTAAATGAATCAATTAAATAAAAAGCATTTCTTCTAAGTTGTCTATGTTAATATGTTTCTTTTAAGTAGTAATCTATGTGTTCAGTACCAAGTTTTCCAAAGGAACAAGAAATTACTCTGTCCCAGGCAATCAGGTAGTGTGGACAGGGCAAAGAAAAGTGAGCCTGGAAAAAAAAACTCCATTGGGCTTTGGATGTCTCTCCATTTTGCATCACTACTGGCTTTTTTTGAACATCTGAGGAACAGTCTATTAGAAAAGCTCGTTTTGTCTATGTTTCTCCTAAACCTGGGTTGATTGCATTAAGGGAGAAGACTCATCTAGACAAGACAACATGGAGTCGTAACAAATTGGTATCAAATTGGTTAACTGTTACCTCAAGTTACATAAGGGAAATTGTATAATAACATTACATTATATTTTATGATCTCATTTTCTTTAGACTACGAGTAGTCCCCTTTGTGTTTCGCTTGCTCGCTCTACTAGGTGTCTAGAGGGGTGAAATGTGATGTAAGGGCAGCCAAAAAGGAGTTGAACTTCTCTGCTAGTGTAGCTGGAGAGGGAGTATCCTCATCAAGTAACTGAGTTACCCAATCTGTTCGAGCTCTTTGACCAGTAAGGCCCTTTAACTCACGCCACCAACGACTGATGTTACTTTCTTTAAGGGAGGCCACCTTATATACTATCATAGAACTTTTTTTTACAATCTGTGCATGCCCTCTGCACCTTATTACGCAACTCTTTGTAGTGCTGCGAGTCTGCGAGTCTGCGAGTAAACCATAACGGATCGGCAGATTTGCATACCCCTATCACCCCCCTCATAAAGGGTATGGCTTTTGAACCAAGGTCAAAAAGGGACAGATTTTTACTGTTGCTACCTAAATGTGGACTCGATAACCTAAAAACTGTATTTTTCCCTTTTTGTCATGAAAACACTCAGTACCACTTCAGAACACAGCGGTAACAGGTTCTCAAATGAAGTGCAGCCTTTTAAGAATCTAGCTTATGAAAGTACAAGGATTTTAGAGAACAAGGAGTGAAACATGAAATGGTTGAGATACACAAACAATACATTCAGGTGTTTTATATTTATATTTGTAACATATTATCTTGAGAGCGAATGAAAAATTAATTTATTGATTAATTAAAGCAAAGTATGTTTGACTCAGGGGCATAGCTAGGGGGGGGGGGGGGTCCTGGGG